ATACACTTAAGTGTGAAAGCCAAGAAGGAAAGAAAAAAAAAAAAAATCAAGCTTTAAGTTATAATAAATCTCCTTAAAAATATGCTAACATACGACTAACAATGTAAAACTTATAAATCTTTAGTTTTTATTTGTTCATGTAACTTATTTCTGGCTAGAATCATGGATAGTAGAACATTTAAAGGTACAACAAACGGATACACAAATCAAAATATTGATTGTATTGATGACTTATGTTATGATTTATTCAAAAACACAGATGATAGACAGAATGACTATATTGAGGATTTGCCTTCGGTGGAATTGAACCTGGCCTGCTCAGGTATGGTACCCAGCATTTCAGTTGGCACATCAGAAACAAGCGTAAACTTTTATCTGACTTGATAAGTCAAATATTAGATACAGTTATTTTAAATGATCGTAAAAGCACAAATCTTTTTAGTATTACAATTTTAGTAAAAATAAATTCTTATAAATACTTTGAAATGTCACATGTCTAGTGTATGTACTTTGTTCTGCATGGTATACTAAAGAAACATTATTTAATGTTGCTTTTTTGTCTTACAGGTTCAACTTCTAATAGTGGCTCCCAAAAAACTAGGACAAATACAAAGAAGACACAAGGTAAAAACCTATATCATACTAATATTATAAATGCCAAAGTTTAGATGGATGGATGTTTCTAACAGTTTATAACCTAAACTGCTGAATGGATGTCAATGAAATTTGGTATAGATGTAGAGGATAGTCTGGAAGAACACATAGGCTACCTGCTTTTGTTTTTTTTTTAATTTCATGTGGATGGAGTCATGGCGTAAAGCTAGTAATTGAATAAACTATAAAACAATAGTAACTTAGTAGATTACTTTCTTTATAGCTAAAGTGTTTAATATTTTAGATGCACCACACCACACAGGAGACAGGCGTGAAATGGAAGCAATTCCGTATTTCGTTTCATGAGTGTGGTGCCGGAGGCCTAAATTAAGTCCATTTCTCTTTACCACCCTTTTCTTATAAGGAGAGGATGGGAAGGGGAAGTAGTTTTGACAGCGGAGGAGATGAATAGGAAGAGGCAATATCCTCTTTATGTGTGTCTCCTCCTCCGTCAGATAAGGGTAGGCAACGGATCTGCGATCGTGGATGTCTATGGGCAGCGGTAGCTTCGACATTTTGGCGGATTTAGGTGGCCGCTTGCTCGTTTGCCATCTTATATTGTAAAAAAAAATTAAATTAGTTCCTATATATGAAATAATCTTAGTAATGTTTTAAGATATATTGGTTTACAGAAAAGACAGTGCAAGGTAGTATTAAAAATAAAAAATCTGACAGAGAAAATGCGAAACAAAAGTTAGCGGAAGAGAAGGCTGCAAAGAAGCAGATTCAAGAATTAAATAAGATTTATAAACCTGGTGAATGTATGAAGGTAATAATTTAAAATTGATAATAAACTAACAACATGTTTTGTACCCCTGACAAAAAAATACTAACAGTGTTTCAAGTTCTTATAAACTATGTTTTTAATATTAATAACTACTGAATTATTAAAACTTTCATGATTCAATCTGATAAATCAATTAAAACAACAAAACTTCCTCCTCTGATGTTGCGGATATCCATGGGCGTCGTTGACCACCTGTATGTTCCCGCCGCTCGTTTGCCCCCATCATGTGTAAAAAAAACTTTAGTGTAGATAATACAAATATTTTACAATGAAAACGCCAAACTGTCGTACTTTTAGTGATTGTTCGAAATTAATGTATATCTACAGTAGAGTACAAAATATGCCTTTGGCTATTACTTAAGGCTGAATATGGAAACTAACCTACAAAACTTCGCTTTGTAAGAGCCACTTCAATCTGATCGGCATTAAAATTTTAATGGTATTTGTTCAAACATGAATTTAAGAAACATATTGAAATGTTTCAGTATTCAAATGTAATTTATCTGATGTTCATTTTATTTCCAGAATATCATGTCATGAAACTTGTTAAATTTTTTTTTTAACATAGTTAAACCAGCCAATGATTCCACCTTTTTTTTTTCTTTTTTTTTTTGGTGAGGGAAAATGCAGTTACGCACCCCTGCGCTGGGCCAAAACCAGTGGCGCAAGGAGTGTGGGACTCGTCTAAAGTCGTTCGGCCATACCCACTAAAAACCCTCGGGCCCTCCTCCACGCATTGGTCGGAAGCTCGTATCAGCGTAGCCATAACCGAGCTTCCGACCTGCGGTGCCGCATAGCGTGACTCTCCATAATGGAATCAATGATTCCAACTAAGCCAAGTGAAGACACGGCCGAAGGATAGATGGGCGCTAGCTCAATTTAGAAGTCTCAAGTTTAGAATATTTTTTTTTTCACAGTATATGCAAGTAGAGGTGCACCCATCTTTATTGGAGAAGTGGTATGCGGGTGACATAGAACGGGAAGTATCTGCCAGTGGAGCAAAGGTTATCACATCTATTGACTTATTTGATCCTTGTCTGGTCTTATGGAAGCGGAGTGTACCGCAAACATTGGTTTCTAAAGATGGACAAGTAAGTATATATTGCCAGTACAAATATGTATCTGATTTTTTTTTATACTGTAAATCAAATTTTATACTAGCTGTTGGCTGCGATTCCATACGCTCGGAAAAATTAGTTAAATAGCCTATGTGTTCTTCCAGATTGTGCTCTACATTTAATTAAAAATTATATGGTTCTTCTTACTAGTATTATAAATACGAAAGTTTGGATGGATGGATGTTTGTTTGTTAGAATTTTTAGCCTAAACGTCAAGATACATCTCAATTAAATTTGACATAGACATAGAGGATAGTCTGGTAGAACACATTGACTACTTTGTGTTTATTTAATTCCATACGGACGGAGTCGCGGGCGCAAGTTAGTATTTATATAATTGTCTACTTATTTCAGTTAGATATGACACCTCGTCATGAGGTCAGTGATCGTGGACTCTATGTGATGATGGCTGCAGACGCTGCACAATACATATGTGAACACAAGTTGTCACAACAAATTGCTACCGTTAGTGAAATAGTTAATGTTAAACTGACTCTAATTATATTCGGTGAACAGGAGTATTTCAAGTAAGTTTTGATTTACATAGATTTGGCTTTATTGAATTATCTTATCTAGTATGTTTTTTAAGGATTATATTTTTTTGTGTATTAATGTTTCGGCAGTGGGTAGTGACCGATGGGAAATATCACAATATACGTGATTTTGCCCACGACCGCATTACTACTACTACTAACTAATTAAAGCCTACTAGTTATCGCCCGCGATTCCGTCCGCGTGGAATTAAAAATAAAAAAGTGAGTAGCTTATATGTCCTTCCAGACTGTCTTCTACATATCCGTTCAGCCGTTTAGCCTACAAATTCTAACAAACATCCATCCACCCATCTATCTAAGCTTTTGCGTTCATAATTTTAGTGTGATTACTTGGTGATAAAGTAACTTTTTAAATCAGTACAGTGGATTTCAACTTTTTTCTATATAATATTGATTTAGATTATTGAGATTAGGCATAAATAAATACATCTGGGAACATAATATATTTTAGGACCGCTTCAAAGAAGACAAAAGGAAACAACCAAGTTATGAGTGAAGTGGACTTAGAAATGGCTATCTCAGGTAATATTAATTATGTCATAAGTAAACCAGTAATCTACATTTCTTATACTAAGTCTACATTTAATTCATTCTACAACCAATTAATGACATTAAAGTCATAAATTATGGTCAAAGATAATCGAGTCTTGTGGTAGTCTTTATAACATAAGGTGGCAAACGAGCAAGCGGCCACCCGAATCCGCCAAAATGGCGAAGCGACCGCTGCCCATAGACATCCGCAACTATAGTCTATATTATTTGCTAATATTATAAATGCGAAAGTTTGTATGGATGTATGGTTGCGGATTTGAAATTTAGCATATATGGAGAATTTTGGCATGGGCGTAATAGACAATTTTTTTTTATTTATACAGAACTAGCTGATCCCATGCGACTTCATTTGTATGAAATTTTAAAAAAATCATTTTATTGTTTACATTTGTCAAATTATCAATTGCAAATGTCAAAGTGACATGACATGATGTCAAACCATGGCAACCTTGCTTCCTTGATGTTGGCAGCAACTTATAGTCTCTTTCCCACATTAGGGTTTTTGTCCAAAATATTTACCCCTAAGTGTAATGGCGTGAAAATATATAGCCTAAAGTGTAACGGAAGTGTAGGGCTTTTTATGAAAGGAAGAGTTATCCAAAAATATGCTGTAATTGATGAAATCTTAGGCAACAAAGACGTGTGTGTGTGTTTACTCTTTGTTATATTAGTAGATAGAGAACAAAAGCTAATATAATGAATTATTTCAGATCTCCTTGTCAGTACAGGATGTGACACAGTTATTGTGAACCAAGCCAATGAACTTGCGTTACTCATTGTGCAGTTCACTAAAGCGATTGCCGAAGCACCATATAAGTATGTATGTATTATTAGACAACTTATTTAATTGATACTGTCGCTTTTAACTCGGAGCAATACCTCTCGTCAAGACTTAGGATGCGCGCCAAATCTATCCATACTTCTAGTGACATTTGACAGCTGTCAGCTAGGGACGTGACGTTTATGCCGATAATCTAGAGTTGCGCCAATTCTATAGCACGGTACTAATTTTATTCCTAACAGTATTGTGAAATGTATGACATATGTATGACCTTCCCCTCAGGATTACGGGCTTGAATTGTGTTGAAGTTAACATGTTCTAACAAGTTCTGAGCTACCGATCACAGTTGTAAGCCCATACCAGGGGTGGCCAAACTCCTTCGTATACTGAGCAACTTTTCAGAATTTAAGATTTTTCGCTAGTCGCAATTACTAGTGTCCAAACTAGTGGGCAGGGAACTAGTGTCCAAACTAGGGTCGCGCCCTGTGTGATGGATCACCAGGCATCAATTATTATAAGTGTGTATTTAAAAATGCAAAATTTTATTATAGTATCAAGTTTTTTGTTCTTTGTAATATATGGAACGATAATATTTATTTGTATGGTAACACTTAAATGGCAACTTAAGTTTTTCAAGAGCCACAAATAAATCTTCAAAGTGCCGCAAGTAGCTCGCGATTTTTGCCCACCCGTGTTCTCTATGTTGGTTGCTATATCCAATGTGTCACTTTAACCGATATTTGTTAAGCAATTTTCTATGTTTTAGGCAGTTGAAACGCGCTTGCGACGAGCAAGCGGACTTCTACATGCGTGGAGATAATAAGAAATGTGTTTCAGTAGATAAAGATGGTAAGTTACCAACTTTTTTGATAAAAATGATGTGATTTAAAAATTTTAGATCCCCATTTCTGTGTTAGTTTCCTTTTTTAATTTTTAAAGGTAACGGATTGAGTTGTCTGTGGCAGCAAATGCTAGCGGTGTTGCCACAAAGCAGCTTGGAGACATCGCGTGCTTTGTGTGCACAGTATAAAACTCCGTTGGACTTGTATGAGGTTGGGTTTTTTAATATTAAATTATCATAGCGATTATGATCGAGTAATAATACAAAGCCATTTATTAGTCTGTTGTCATTCTATATGTCAAAATACATTGATTGCTATCCACCGAAAAATTATTTATAATTCGTATGTTGAAATATATTAATTTAATTTTAGATCTTAATGCAGCCGGAAGGTGTAAAGGCAGTGGCCGAGTTAGGAGTGTCTCGCTCTGCTGTCCCGGGCAGTAGAGCTCGCAGGATCGGACCTGAATTTGCCAGAAAATTACACACCCTACTCACTGCTGAAGATGGAAATATGTTAATTGAATAGTACCTATGTATTTTGTTGACAAATAAATTATTTCATTACAAGACAATAAAGACAATAGAAACTGATATGGTGGTAGATTTATTTGTTATATATAGCTGTATACATTAAAGTCTGAAGTCCGTATCGTACTATGCACTTCTCATGTACCAGACGAGTTTTATGGGGGTTAATAATCTGGCATTGGTATTGAAAATGACATCCCTAGTCCCCACTTTCAATGTCACTCTGACTGCTGTCACTTTGAAACATCAAAACAAATTGTTTTCAATCCTATAAATGAATAAGAATAAAACTTAATTTTGTACTTTTTAAGTGTGTGTTTTAGTTGTATTTCTCCGATAATTTTTAACAATGACAGTGTATTTAACAAGAATTGCCGTAAGTGCGATCCGGAATATTTCAAACAGGAGTTCCATGCTTTCCAATGTCGATTTTTCGCCGGTGAAATTGCTTTTGCATAATAAAAACGATATATTACATTTATCACGGCAATTAACAATAAGAAAATATACTACCGATACAATCCAACCGGTAATTGCTTTAGAAAACGCTAGTATACCATTGAAAAAGAAGACGGTGCATAAAAAGGCGGTACTTGAGGATTTAACCAAAAAGGAAGGACATTATTTAACATTTGCTTACGCAACAGCGAATTCTTACGATTTGAAAGCATTAAAAGAAGCTCTAGTACAACAGAAACTTTACGAACCCGGGAAGTAAGGTTACTCAATATATTAGCTAAATTTCGATATTATGACGTAATTATTGGATGTTGTAATTTTTATGATTTTTGTTAAACTGTATAAATTCATTTTAATTAAGCACCCTTTAGTAAACTACAGTAATTAAATATAAATGATGTTGACAAAATCAAATCGGAAATTAACAGTTTAGCTCTTTTTTGCATTTATTCTATGTCTCTTCACAAAGAGGAAAGATTTTAATTTGTAATCTATCTAATAAACTCGAAAACTTTTGGACTGATTTCAAAAATTCTTTCCTCATAGTAATGTACATTATCACTGAGTAGCATAGCCTATAGTTATGCTAGGAATGTTTTTAAGTCCTTGCAAACAAAGTCATGTGCAAAACTTAGTATAGACTGATTTATAGAATTGATTGGCAACTTCTTGCCTATTTTACATCCATATATGCTTGGTTAAAATAACTGCTTTTAATATATCTTAATACTTAATTATTCATTTTGTTTCTACTCAGGTTAAAGGCACATGAAGTAGGAGATGTTGTGATTGCAAATCCTGTCTACACAATAGGCACAGAACCTAGAGAGATTATTTTCTTCAAAGAAGGTGCAGTTGTGTTTTGGAATTGCACAGAATTAGAAGCTAGCAATGTTCTCGATTTTGTTAAAAGGTTTGTATGAAATGTATCATTTATTGTCTACTAGCTAATGTGTGTGAATCTATCTATGTGGAATTTAAAAAAAAACTTAATTAGTAGCCAGTGTGTGCCTATGTTCTACATCTATGCCATTTCATTGAGATCCCTTCAGCTGTTTAGTTTTTAATAAGTCTGTGATTACATTATAAAGGTGAAATTGTTTCGACTGGTTTGTTATTATTTATAGCTGTTCACGATTTCGTCCCCATAAAAACCAAACAGAATAAACAATATAGCCTATGTTACTCATAGATAAATTACCTTTCCAATGGTGAAAGAATTTTTAAACGGCCCAGTAGTTTTTGAGCTATTACAATATAGAAATCTACTCGTAAATATATAAATCTTTCCCTTTATAATATTAGTATTAATTAGTATTGAATTTATTCATACATACTTTTAAGAATATGAATAAACAAGTATAAATCTTTGGTAATTCTTTACAGATATGAGATTGAGGGATATCCAAAAGATGTTATAGAAAGAGAAAGGGAAGTAATGACTTATGTATATCAGCCTAATGTGTGAGTATTTATTTCTAAATATTATTTACAAACTAGCTTACTCCCGCGACTTGCGGGCGTTGCATGAAATAACAAAAGTAGCCTTTGTGGTCTTCCAGACTATGCTCCACTTCTATGCAAAATTTCATAGAGATCCGTCCAGCTGTTAAGATGGTGAACTAACAAACATCCATTTATCCAAACCAGTGATTCTCAACCTTTTTTTTTGTTGCGGAACATATTTACCGATTTCAAAATCTGGCAGCACACAAAGAAAAAGATAAAAATTATTACTTACATACTGCATAAATAGTTTGTAACAAATATATGCAAAATTTGGCGGCATACAAAAGTGCCGCGACACTGTGGTTGAGAATCACTGATTTAAACTCTCGCATTTATAATGTTAGTAAAATGTAAGTTATCTTATGTTGGAAAACACTTATTTTGTATAATGAAACATTAAAAGGAAAGTTTTCAAGTAAAATTTAATATAATTGTGTTATATTTTTTGCATACTTTTTATTGTTTTTAATAGATCCAATAGTTATATCGTTCCAAATGATTTTATGAGGTTTATTTGTATGTATGGAATATGGTTAATAATATTAATGTCATATAAATTTGTATTACAGTAAAAAATGCCATTTACAAGAATCCTGCTTCGTTTTAGTACCAGATAGAGATAATTCTTTGGAAAAGTACAGTTTTAGGTAAGTAATATTCACTAATTGTTAAAAAAAACAATAGACAAATTAAAAGTTTTATTTTTTTATTTAACATTTCTATTGATGTGAACAAAATATTTTTATTTAAAATCTAACCGTCAATGATATATAAAAAATAAAGGACGACTGAAACATTTTATAATTAAATAACTTTTGTCCACGACGTCGTTAGCATGGAACCTTAAAGACTCACTAAGTATCCTATGTGTTCATCCAGACTATATCTATGCCAAAGCTACCAACTAACAAAAATCCGTCCATCTAAACTTTCCCAGTATACTAATATAAATGCAAAATTTTAGATGGATGTTTGTTAGAGTTTGTAGCCTAAACGGCTCAACGGTTTTCTATAAAATTTGGCATAGATGTAGAGGATAGTATGGAAAACACATAGGTACTCATTTTTGTTTTTTTAATTCCACGCGGACGGAGTCCCGGTCCAAAGGTAGTTTATAATATTAGTATGATATTTAATATAGGTATTCCATCCAACGTTTAATGTATTTTTATTGTTTTTTTTTACAATTGAAGTCATGCTATGGCACAGTCAGCTCGGCTCGGAGCTTGGGAAGCGCGCCTGGAGTCGCTCGCCGCTTCTGTCAGAGAACACAGCGCTATCATGGAAAGGGACGGAGCTACACATGTCGATAAGAAAGAAGTAAGTGTCTTCTTAAAAACTCAATTATACTTGAAATAACGAATAACTTCACTGTTTTAATTATTGCTACTAATAGATGGTATAACTTTAGTAGCGCCAGTGGTGGAGACATTGAGAAGCAAAAGGTTAGCGTGGTATGGACATGTTATGCGACGAAATGATGGGGACATAAACCAGAAAGTGTTGAGATTGAATGTGGATGGCTACAAAGGAAGAGGAAGACCGAAAAAAGTATGGATGGATTGTGTGAAAGAGGATATGCTTAAGAAAGGAGTGGATTCAGATATGACGGCTGATAGAGATGTATGGAAGAACAGCACATACTGTGCCGACCCTCCGTAAGGGATAAGGGCAAGTGGATGATGATGATGATGAGATGGTATAACTTTGCAATGCTTATCTATTTATATTTATTCTTAATATGTAACGGTAAACACACAATTCTTTGTAATGTAACATGAAATTAATCACAGCATATTATTGAATAATATATCTATACTTCCATACTATTATAATAAAGCGTAAACACACACTAGAAGTGTGTGTAGTGTGTAGTGAAGTGCCTAAGATGTCAGCAATTACGGCATATTTTTGAATAATTCTTTCTTTAGTAAAAAGCCCTACACTTACGTCACGCTTTATGCTATATATTTTCACGCCATTAAACTTAGGGGGTAAATATTGTGGATAAAAACCCCTTTTGTGGGAAAGAGACCGTAAGTTGCTGCCAACATCAAGTAAGCAAGGTTGACATTTAGGCATTTGAAAAGTGACATTTGACAAATAAAAACAATAAAATCAAACGATTATAATTTCATGCGGGTGAAGCCGCAAGGGAACAGCTAGTGTATTAATAAAAACCCCTATATTTATGACACGCTATAGGCTATATATTTAGTTTGGAGTGTGAATACATTGAAAAAATTTATTGCGAGAGACAAAAACTTGACCCAATATTCTATATTTGAACTTTTAAAGTAATACATTTATTTCACTGTTTTTCAGGTAGTAAGGAAATTAGGAGAACTTTTCTCTTTGCGACATCGACTGAACGTGGAATCAGATTTACTGGATACGCCAGATTTTTATTGGGAAGAAGAGGAATTAGAAAGATTGTACTCCAATACAGTTGCATATTTCACTATACCGAGGCGGACAAGGGTATGTCAAAATATTACATTTTAATGAAATCAGCTATATCTATACATATACGTTTTTAATATATTTTGGTAATATTATAGGTGTTAAACGAACGTTTATCCCATTGTGTGGAACTGTTAGAGTTATTATCATCGTGGGCTGCGGACAGACATCACGTGAGACTGGAATGGATGGTGATAGCGCTCATATTAGCGGAGGTCTGCTTCGAGTTGTTACACTTCTTTGAGAGGTACTTCATGAGGCAACATAATGTCGATAGTTGAGTAAGGGAATATGAACCTTATGTGTATGGGATAAGGTTTATTGAAAATTAATATTTATATTGTATACTTTTAAAGTCTGGCAAAAAAGGTTATATCTCTTATTAGCTGTTCCCCTGCGACTTCATCCGCATAAAATTATAATGTTTTTTTATTGTTTACATTCAAATTACAAATGTCATAATGACATGATGACAACCTTGTTTCCTTGATGTTGGCAGCAACTTATGCTTTCCCACATTAGGGTTTTTATCCAAAATATTTACCCCTTAAGTTTAATGGCTTTAAAATGTATAGTCTAAAGCGTGACGTAAGTGTTGGGATTTTTATTAAAAAGTGAATTATTCAAAAATATGCTGTAATTGCTGACATCTTAGGCCACAAATAAGTGTGTGTTTACACTTTATTATAATAGTATAGATGAGATTTTATAAAATGACAGATGAAACTGTCTATACTATTATAAATGCGAAAGTTTAGATGGAGGTATGGATGGATGGAGGTTTGTTAGAGTTTGTAGCCTAAATGGATATCGATAAAATTTGATTAGATGAATTAGATGTAGAGAATAGTCTGGAAAAACACATAGACCACTTTTGTTTTTTCTCTTAATTCCTTGCGGACGGAGTCGCGGGCTAAAGCTAGTATATATATAAAGTGAATAGATTTGTAATTTCGTATTTTTGTAAATTTGAAATAAGTGAAAAACTACAAGGTCAATTTCCAAAGTTATTTCATTTTTAAAAAGCTATGTTATAACTGTGACATGGGCTATGTTTTTTATTATCTTTTTAAATTCACCCGGGTGAAGTCGCGAGCAATAGTTATGGGATTTGATGCAATGAGTTATATCTTAACCTCATAAGAGATGTTTCTTATTTCGCCAGATAAATATTGTTTTTTATAGTCTGTAGTATTTTTATAGTTTGGTGTAGTTTTTTGGTATCTTTAGATTAATTAGCATGTTTTAAGAATAAATTAAATATTAATTGTTTTCGTTCATGACAGAGATGATTTATATTCATTATATAATTATTTTAGTTTATTTATATTTACTAACTTAATATTATTTCTTTTACATGCAACTTTAACAGAAAAAGGATAATAAAAGACGAAAAAAATAGATTTACTTAATAATATAATATAATATAATATAATATAATATAATATAATATAATATAATATAATATAATATAATATAATATAATATAATATAATATAATATAGTATGTTCTGAAGTAAAATGTATGTAATAGTTAATATAATTATGTGTTTATATATGTTATAATTTGGGTGTATTTTCTAAAATGTTGCCAAAGTTCAATAAATATATGTAGATATTGGATATTTACTATTGTATGTAGATACATTAATAAAATTTGTTTGTTATATTTAAATAAAATAGTTTTATTTAATTTATATAAATGTTTAAGGTGTTGAAAATAAATCTATTTACTTTATGATATTTTTATTTATAAATCTTATATAATGTATGTAACTAATAAACTCCAAAAGTTCAAGATTTTAAAAGTTAATTTCAAATTAGAATTCTACTGTATATCAACAGGAAGGGTATGGATATGACAGAAAAGCTGTGTATGGATTGCTAGTGTCCAATAAAATATGTAGTGGTCGCTCATTAGTCGAAATTATATTACAATTAATTAGTGTACTATTTTCTTTTATTTTTTTTAATTAAAAATATCTTTATGCATACTCCGTATTACTTTTTAAGTGCACAATATCTTAAGATCTTGCGCACATTTTTGACTAGACTATCGCACAACTATTTAGCCACGCTTTTATTCCTATGACCACATATGTAGGTGATAACACTACTCGATTTTTAGTTATGTAACTAAACAGTTGAATTGGCTGCGATACGATCGCACAACGGTTGTACGATATTTAAATGTGTGCACAAGTTCTAACGGGTAATAAAGTTTTCGATTAACGTCTATTTCATGTTCATACGTTTTCAGGAGTTCTCGCAAAGTGCGTCGTAAATCTACGTATTCAATGGACTTTGAAGACCCTTTATTTCATGACCTTTCCATCATCGATACGTAATTTAAAATCAGTTTGTAAATAAAACAAAGCTTTAATCATAAGATATTTAAGTTTAAATAAATAATTTACAAAAAAAAAACACTTTTTATTGAATCACTTGTGAATTTACCTTAAGTTTTTTCATAGCAATATTTCATTTATGTGAAATGTTGCCTTAGTAATTATTTATCGGAAGTAATTATTTTTGATTGTGATTACTTAACTATTGAAGATGGTTTATAGATAATTTAACAGTTTTTAAGCACATAATAATTATTGAAAAAGGCATCTAACTATATCGACAAAATGGCTTCACGCCTGGAAATAGTATTAAAGTTACCATACTTACAGCCGAATAGTAAACATTTAAATATGTAACAGCGTCTTAAATGATAAGGCCAAGCTTACGTGCGCACCTGAAACTAAACTATCGCACAACTGTTTAATCGCTTTGATTCTTATGATACTATGAGGTGCGCACACTACTTGATTTTTAGTTGTGCAACTAAACAGTTGAATTGTCTGCGAAACAATCGACAATCGTACAACTGTTGTTTGATAGTTTAGTTAACGGCATCGCCAGCCTTTAAACTCCAAATTCATTCATATTTGGACCTGTATCAAATTGTAATCAGAGCTTACGAAGCGTAGCATTTAAAATACGTTTTAGTATCTGGCCAGTATTATAATTGAGGTAAGTTTACCTCAGCTAAGGAGCGACCCTCAAATATGACAAGTGTGTTATTACCCTTAATTTCACGTAAGTTAATTAAAAATAATGATCAGTAATGAATGAGCAAGTTGTTCAGATAAACATCTTAAAGTTCGCTGTAAAAATCGCTTTGGTGAAACTAGCGAACGAGTTCGGAATCGATTGGCTATTATTGACATTGCATTTTGTTCTTTATTGCTAGAGGATTAAGATTGAATTTGCTACTGAATGGGTACAATATTGTATGAAAATTAATTCGCCTTCAGTACTTCAAGTCTTAAACTGATACTATCATCAAAACCTTTATATAAATATGGCTTTATCATCGTAAAAGACTGTTTTAATGTTTGTTTGCGTATTGTAATTTATTCGTTCCCGCCCTTTCTTGTAGTTCGCGACTATTTTTAGTACTTTAAAGTCTCCTGTAAATGTTAATCAAGATGGCGGACCTCTGATAGACTTTTATAGAACAGTAATAATCATTAATATTTTTTGTGTATTATTTACTGAAACAGAAAACTATAAAATGTTGCAATCGAAATTATTTATGAAATCACTCGAAGTTATATCGATTTTAAGCATATACACGCATTTTCATTGCCGAAACATCTACACAAATACATATTATGTCCCTTATTTTTTTACCGGTTATAAATAAGGTAATTGTATTGTTTAGAAACAATTTGGCAAAAGATTTGAACAAATTCTCGGCTCTCTCAAATTCTCAGTATTCCCGTCGAAAGTCCAGACTCAGCACCGCCGTTTGGGAAATGCGAGGTGGGCGATCGCCCAGGGCGCCTAACGAAGAGGCGCCGAGATGTCGCCCCCATGCCTTTATCGTATGGGTTTGTATTGCTGGGAGCTGTAGAAATTGCCCAGGGTGCCAGTAATGATAAAACCGGCCCTGTCCAATCAAAACCACATTACGTGGGATCATAGTCAAGCTCTAGTTTACTCGTCATAATAAAAGTAGTGAAAAAAAACTTTATTTGCTTATGCGACTGACCGTCAAAGTTACGACGCGACAGTTACGTCGTGCACCGGAAATGTAGACGACTGTCAACATCAACACGACGGACGCTTTGTAGGCAGTTCGTTTCACGTTCTCCGATAATATGCACCGTTTACTATCTATTTAGTACTGTATCAAGTTGCTTACTCTAGCCAATAGGATGGGTAATATACGTTATTAATTTTCTTAACATCGTATTGCAGATGTTTTTTCATGATCTTAAGAAGATTCTTAGATCGTATGTAAATATTAAGTTATTCTGAAATGTTTTAATTAGAATCATAACCGACATTTAGCATCTGTGGAACAAAGCTTAAATTCTCGCCTTTTATGCACCACGTATAACTTTTAAATCCAGCTCAGCCAACCTTGACTTGTCTGCCAAGTTGAATAGACTTAAACGGTCCATCATGTTGCATTCAAAATGAATTCGTGCTTTTCATTAGCTGCTTTTACACTCATGTTTGTTCAGTCATGGTCTCTTTGTGTTGAGATAGTTTGTAGAGTAAATGAAATGTTTTGTACGTGTAATACATTCCTTGACCTCTATATAAATGTACGTTCTAGTTTGTAAATAACTAGCTGTTGCTTGTGACTTCGTCCGCGTGATAAAAATATAGCCTATATTACTTAGTGATAACATAGCTTTTTAATGGTGCAATAATTTTTGAAATCGGTCCTGTAGTTTTTTAGCTATTTCAATACATACAAAAGTCCAGTAATTAAAATCTTTCCTCTTTATAACATTAGTATAGACATAGATATTTAAATTAAGTAGGTATCTGTTAAATAACTATTTTCTTTTGAAAATAGGCGGGAAAATATTTACTTGGTTAGACTAAATTTGCGATTTGAAATTAGAAAATTGGAGATTTGAATTTAGAATAACTTTTCTGTCGTTTTTATTAATATGGATCTTGACCACATTTAATTCATACTCTTAAAGTTGTTTTAAACATAAATAATTGTTCGAAATACAAAACTATAAAAGACTATATGGTTGAAACAACTAAAATGCGGTGGTTGCTCACGACATTTTCCTTTGTGAAATCCACCCTTATTGTAATTTCGCAAAACGCATGTCTATAATAGAGTATACGCATGCGCGGGGAACACGCTGATTTTTTTCTGCCAGTCAGCTGTCAAACGTTGGGTGGTCCTGTATCTTTTATAAATAAAAATCACAGTTTATTAGTTGCCAGTGTTAGTTAATGTTATTTGAAAACTCTTTTTGGCATATAGTTGAGTTTAGGATTTACGCTGTGATTTCTAACCTTATTTATGGTTATTATAATAAACCGTTGTTGTGGAAAATCTGTAACTTTGTGATAGCAGATTGTTGACGCGTAAAATTTAAGGTGAGTTATTTTTTTAAATAATGTCTGTTCTGTAGATAATTCAACGGTAGATGTTTGATATTTTCCATAAATTATCTTCGCCATGCTTACGAACTTATCTATGTTTTTAAATAGAAATGTAAAGAGATATTTTAACTTTATGTTCTTTAATTCTTATTTAACTGTAATCGAGTGTTGACAATTGAAATATATTCTTTCTAACAGGATTTATTTTCAAGGAAACATGAAGCCAGCTAATTTAACTTGTTATAAAAAATGAGCAAGGATTAAACCACCCTCTTAGCGGTTACAGTTTTTCATAAAGACGATGTTTTTTTATCAAAGTATGTTTTGATTTACGATTTAGTATAAGTTCACTGCTTTATAATTATTTTAATAGTCAGGTAGTTCTAAACCACGCAGGGATCGTATTCATAATGAAAGGTGTTTTCAACGAGTCCTGTCTATTTTAAGCCATTTTGTGGCCACAAAGGCACGCTCCTGAATACGAAAAAAATTGTTTTCTTTTCTAGGGATTCCGTATAATTTTTAATAATTGTACTTTTAATTTTAGGTGCTAATATCATAAATGCGAAAGGTAAGATGGATGGATGAATGTTTGTTACACTTTGTAGCTTTAGGCTACAACAGATTTCGATGAAATTTTGGTATAGATGTTATTTTTGTTTTTGTCAATTCCACGCGGACGGACTCGCGGACGCAAGCCAGTCATAAAGTATTAGTTTCATATTTGTTACTGTTAGAATGTCACAAAATAGTGGTTAATTGAATTTAAGTTGGAATTTAAAAGTTTTAGCGAAAATTTTTCAATTTTTCTATGGTAGAATTACCTTGGTGTTAGGTAAAAAAGTATGTTCTTTCAGTTCACACGGAACCCTAATAGTTAAAAAACTTATTAAAAAGTTAAGCAGGTAGCTGCGGTAAGGGTAAGGGTCCCGCTGTGATCTCTTGACCTTCACAATACCATTATTAAGAGAACAATAGGACCCCGCGGCTTGTTTTGACTGCGTTTCTGGCGTCTTCGTTGATTTTTATAAGATTTATTGAACAAAATGTCTGGATGATATTTTAACGTTAAGAGCGCGCGTCTTTTACTACTATCGCGGAACTGTTTCATCACGCTTTGATGTTTATGAGCTTACTAGCTTTCGCCCGCGACTCCGTCTGCGTGTAATTAAAAAAACAAAAGTGAGTAGCCTATGTGTTCCTCCAGTCTCTACGTCTATGCCACATTTCACGGTGGTTCGTTTAGCTGTTTAGACTACAAACACGAACAAACATCCATATAAACGTACGCATTTATAATATTAGTATGATATGGAGTACACTACTTGATATTTAGTTGTGCAACTAAACAGTTGAGGATGCGAAACAATCGACAATCGCACAACAGTTGTGCGATAGTTTATGGAAAGGTGTGCTCCCACTACTCTTTATGAAATTATTTGACTGGAATACCCTTAAAAACGAATCTCAACTTCGATGTTATATTATCGCTACAATGTATGTACTACTCGTATAGTTGCATTACAAAAGCTTATTGCGGACAAAGTCACTGTTTGAATATTTTACTAAGGATTTCCGCAGCTGTGCATTGTTCCCGCACGTGGTAGTCCCTTTGTTCGTAGCAAGTTTAACAAAGGCGTGTACAATTTTCTGGTAAATTGTCAGTTAATATAAATTATGTTGGTAATTACTTTCTTTCTAGAAATACTTTGTTAGTTTAGTTAATGAAAAATATTAGTACAGTGCCATCTCGCGGCCGTGTGCGAAATTAATCAATACAATAATAAACAAATCTTTTTATAAAATTAGTTTTGGTTAAAAATTGTAAAATATTTTTTTTTAATGTAAGAAAAATAAACAAAAAGTTATTTCTGCGACCCTGCCAGGATTCGAACCTGGAATCTTCTGATCCGTAGTCAGACGCGTTATCCGTTGCGCCACAGGGCCGTTGAGATGTAGATCTAATTTATAAAACGA